CTAACGTGATAAACTTACAGAAAGTTACAGATGGGCTACTACTAAACAAATGTAAGTAGAAACTAAACCTTATGTACCTGAACAATACTTTCTCCAACGGGGCCAAAAGGGATATATCAATTCATCTGCTCCGATAGCGAATAATCGACTATTATATAGGAGTTATGCAGTCGACTACTGGCTGTCAATGGCAACGTCTTCAAAAAATATTGATAATGCCCTTCAATTTCAGTAGTATTGAGCAGGAGCAACCGGTCACAGTTGAAGTATTATTCAAATATGGCAGCCGCCAAAAAAACAGTGTAAGGTTAAACTAAGGTGGAGCACTCATTCAAAGACTCATTTGCGTGAATGAGTCAGTTATTTTCAGGATTCGTAGACACTATCATAACATGATAACCGCCAAAAAGGAACAATGTTCGTGAATACATAAGGCGATAGAAAAGCATTACTTCCAAAGAGGCATAGAAAAGTATTGCTTAAATAGAGTTTGTCAATCGCCCAAACACATTGGCAAATACATACAACAATTGCGGCAGTTTTCATATTATTGGATCGAAAAACAATGTTGTAGTGAACAACCTAAACATTCACTGTATAACTAACTATTGTATGTTGTAATCGAGATCATGGACTAGTCAATGTTAAACCACCATTGAAACCTGAAAGCAATGAAAGGTCGTCACGTTCTGGTATTAGACTCATCAGCAGCTCGCATCCACGATCCCGCACGCGAGATTCGAACCCAGGGTCTTCAGTATGTGCCAACGCCTAACCTTTGGAACACTGAACCAGCATCCAATAGTGTTGATACTTAACCTCAATCTACCCACGACATTGCGCAACCATCTTCACAATCTCAATCATAAATCAACCATCTCCACAGTCCTGAACTGATAATTACCATTCGCTCGCTAGTAAATAACTTCTAGAGGTAATTCCCGAAAATGTAGTAGGAAGTTGTGACCAGTGGAGTTCATTTGCGTTGGGTGTGAGTCATTTACCCATCGATGACAGAGGCAGATGGTTGCGTAATATCGTAGATTGATTGAGGTTAGATATCAACACTATTGGATGCCGGTTCAGTGTTACAAAGGTTAGGTATTCGCATAATGCTGAAGATCTTGGATTCGAATTTCGTGTGCGGGATCGTGGATGCGCACTGCTGATGAGTCCCATACAAGAACGTGACGGTCGTTCAGCGATTTAATGCAAAAATTAACTACTAAAACAAGCAAGTCCCATTCGTTTATTGTTGATACTAGTAGCATGAAGTCAATTATTTCTAAGGGAAATTTACGGTTTCCTTATAACGAAGTCAATTTAAGACCCACAAATAGTGGAGCTACTGACATCACTGATCACCAGTTATCCATCATTGGCACAGCTAATATTTCATTGAAGAAAGATTAGGGTAGTTGTGACAACATTTCTTTTGCTAGTAAGTATAGTCCATCTGTGCTTAGGTTAAAGAACTCAAGATTGCTGGATGTACTCATTTCTTTCTGAACTAACTCTTCTGATAGTACCTTATATAAAGGTCTAGTCTTACAATGTTCGAAGGCTGTTGGAGGTACGATAATTCACTCAGTACACATAGAATTAAAGGGAGAGTGCATCTTCCCGAAGTGTAAACTAATCCCACATGGTTCAAAATAGTGTGTGAAGAATGAGCTAGATAAACTAGTTGGAAAGGAGATAATAATGCCAATTGAGTCGCACAGTTGTGCCACTCTCATCGTGATTCCATTAAAGACAGACGGAAAGACATCTAGAACTTGTGGTGGTTACCACATGTCACCAAATACTCGACTATTTCAGCACAGTTTCACCGCTGAACGAACTGAGGATACTTTATATGAATCACGATCTATTTTTCTAGAATAAACCTTAACGTTGTGTTTATCAAATTTTGGTGTATGAAATCTAGAGTGATTTAAATACCATTAATACACCGTTAAGACCATTCGAATGCAATTTCCTATCTCTTGGACTCAATTTTTGCCTGGCATATTCCAGAATGTTATACATCAGATTATCACAGTTCTTGCTGTTGAATCGTATCAGAATGATGTTGTAGTTCTTGCTAATAATAAATATTTGCATAATTAACGTCTTTCAAAGTTATTTAGACTCTTCTGTGATACAAGTGTGACCGTAAACTCATCCAAGTGTCAGTTTCAACTTCATTCTATCAACTTCTTATATTATCCCGTAGGTGTTTAGGGTTTTAGACCTGAATCGCCTAGCTCCAATAATCCGATCATCATCACCCGAGAATATCTCAAATCATGAATTGGCGCCCTTTACTTTTATTATAGGTTTATTCTTGACTCTATAGAAATATAATCTCCACTTTTCAACTTGATTTCTGGTAAAGAGCTTGTATGTGGACAAAGGCACGAGGATATATCCGAGATACTCTGCAGTTTTTGAATGGTGAGGCTTTGCTCAGACCCTTTTCACTGACTGGAAAATCTATCCTTACTACAGATGCATGTTCATTGAGGTTAGGTGCTATCCTAAAACAGAATGGGAAACCTGTTATTTTTATATTTCGAGATAATCAAGCCAGAATGAACAGGGATATTTCCGGATCCGAAAGTAATCTTTAGCTATGGTATGGACAGTAAAAAGGTTGTATAAATACCTATTTGATACAAAGTTCCACACTGTAACTGACCATCAGGCGTTAAAGTCCATTTATCCCTCAACTAAGTCGACTCATCTGTCATCCGCTGACATAGTCCAGAAATGGAATTTAGATTTTAATGCTTACGATTTCACCATTGGACACTGAGTGGCTAAAAGCATTCCACATGCAGACTATCTATCACGTTCTTTATACCCATAAATACCACTTAACGAAAGTGATCATATGTTGGCGTGATAATTACAAGTATTTGAATTAATCTGCTACCTAAGAATTCCCGAAACAGTGTAATTTTAAGGCAGGTAGAACTAGATGAGCACTAGTGGACGTATTATGTTTGGAATTCATAATAAGCGCTTAGTCAAGTACAAAGGAGTCATCACTTAGTAAAAAATGTCACAGCTGATTCAACTATTGCCTTTTTATACGGAAGAACTTTTGAAGGATACGCGATAGTATTTCAGAACTGTCATACGTTTGGTGAGAAGAAATTCGAATATTCAGTACAAACATAGGTTTCCTTAGTTTTGCAAAAGGAAAGAAGACATATCACTACATGCTGAAGATGTTTTGTGCTTTAATGATAGAGTAATCATTTTCCTTACATTTAGATCTACAGCATTAGACAACCCTTACTCAGCATATTCATGAGCAGATAAAATGAAATCACTTGTTCATCAGATATGTCGGTGGCCTGATATTGATGATGATATAAGTCGAAAATAGGAAAATTATCCTTCTTGTTTACATAAGCTATCATACAATAATACTCCTTGGAATTCTCGACCTGTATCTTACGTGGCAACGTAATGATGCTAATCAAACTCATATTATGCTTTAGTTATTTTTGATCCATATTTCAGATGACTAGAAGTGGTACTCATGAATATTTCTGGCAAAAACTTTATCAAGAAGCAATGAAGAAGACATTTAACCGTGAAAGAATGCCCAGTGTATTAGTAACGAATAACAGAATCTATTACACAAAAGAGTTCAATGTCTGGCTTACTGATATTGGATGCTATCATTTATCTACAGCTCCACAGCATCTTCGGTTTAGTGCCTTAGCAGATAATTCCGTTCAAACTCTAAAGGGTGCTATCACATCAGCAAATTCAGGTAATTTAGAAGAATAGGGATTTATGGAGATTGTAGTAATTTAAATAGTTGAATTCATGAGTCCTTCCCAGCTTAGATCGGCTCATCTTTAGAAGTAAAGTTTACCGAGGAAATGCCTATCGACTATTTAAACCACAGCAGACATATAGATCAAATAAAGATTAATGATTTAGGTGATTCTAGTTTCATTTCTGATTATTCTCTAACTAATCCTAATTCTGTCGAGTATTCAAGATGTATTCGACATCAGAAGTAATGACTTCTAGTTTCATTTCCTGAACTTAATAATGTGTTGTAAGTCAAGGTTTTTATTAACTAATTAACGTAAAACTCTCATTCATTGATAAGTTCCTCCACTATGAAGTATCTTCTAACGTTTTCTTGTGGGTAGTATGCTGTTTTTTGAGTGAACTACTTTAAACCTAAGATGGTAATCGATATTATTTGAATTTTGTTCATTTTCGATTATGGGAATTTATATTAACTAGTGATTACCCTAAAGTAGTAATTGCTTTAGTCAATACCATAATCTTGGTAACAATAGTCAAATAAACAACTTTTGAATAACTGTCATAATATGTAAAGAAAATTTAGACGGTAAAATAATATGAATTATTCTTTTGTTCAGAAGAGGTTTCGTGGTGATTTTAGAAATTTTATAGTTGAATTCAATGGTCAATCGAAGCTAGACAACTATGGAAAATCTTGGAAACACTGGACGGCCGTTTCGTCCAAGTGTGGGACTCCTCAGAAGTGCGCATCCACGATCCTGCCTCACGAGATCGGAACTCAGGACCTATTAGTCTCGCTCACTAGTGACTGGCTTCAAGAGATATTTCCTGGAGTTCTAGTGAGAAGCAGTGGTCAGTGGAGTTCAAACCACGTCTGTTGTGAGATAACAACTCACTGAAGACTATTGGTGAACGGTTGCTCAAACTTCGTGGATTGGTTGGAGTTAGACATAAACACAATGGAATGCCGGCTCAATGGTCTATCGGTTAAGTGCTTTGGCGCGAGATTGATAGGTCCTGGGTTCGAGCTTCAATTAACTCACGCTTTCAACTATGAAAATACTAAATCTCCACAAAAACCCTTTCTGATAATAATCTCCTATAAGACTGAATTGTATTTACAATCAATTAATCACTGAGTGATTATCAATGTCATTCATATCAGATCCTTCTTAGTGTAGATTCGATCCTATAGACCAAGTTGCATCTATCCAATATATTCAAAGAACAAATGATTTATTTATTAATTATAAGATTACAAATATTGAAAAACATTAGAAAAACAATCAAACAATAGTGGAGAAGATTTTTAGCTAAGGTGGGGTGATTTTAATGTAGGTTTGTTCTCTGAGCTGGATGGTTTGGTCATGAAGTTTTCATCATCATTCTAAACGACATGATGTCGTTCACGACCAAACCATTCAGCTCAGAGAACAAACCTACACCAAAACAAACAATAGAATAGAACAGAACAACTGATGAGTTCAATTAGTTTGATGAAATCAATCAAATATCTCTTTTCAATTGTTTATATTATTTACATGAAATATATACGTATAAGTAGCATAGTTGCTCCTCAACTCAGGACTTAATAACCATTGATTCTCACCATTACCATGATTTCTTCTATGATTATTTCGCATAAATGATTTAAACAAAATTGAGCATAACCATATACCATTGAATATGATGATTATCATTAATATAATTTGAATAATGATTGGAATTTGAATAAGGAATCTATTTAATTGATTTATAATTGGTTGATTTAAATAAACTGTTTCATTAAAATAAACTAGTGGTAATAATATATCGGATAGATTACGTAATTGTTCAATTTTGGGATTATTTTTAATGACTACATTAATTTGTAATTTAATAGATGCATTAATAATGAGACCAGTAATTGGTTCTAAATAGATGGTTGTATTATATTCTTCATTATTATATTGGATATTATCAATAGCAGTTTGATAAGATTTATCAGCCTATTAAAAGGGGAAAAATAATAATGATTATAATTATGCTACTTATAACAAAATAAGTAGTCAAAATAGAATATCTAAAAAAGATTGAGAAAGAGAAGAACAGAAATAGGAAGTAATTGGTATGGAGATGAAGGAATAGTGAATTGTGAGATGATTGATTGACATTTGTAAAGGAATATTTAAGTTTGATTAATATTTTGTAAACGAAGTATTTATTATTTGATTATCAGATTCCATGGTCTCCACTTCAGTTCTCGTTCACTAAAACTATATATAATTTATAGGTGACTTTTGAGGGATACCAAAGTAACCTAGAGAGTCACAATTGATTGATCACTGGGTGGTGATCAATGTCATGCGTTTCAAGTTCTTCTTAGTGCTGATAGAATGCTATTAATCAAGTTGCAATGTGGCCACTAGTCTAGGTGGCTCGACACTACGTGCAGTATGTTGAGATATGATGGTGGTTGGAGTGCCAAGTAGCACGAAACCTAGGTCCAGGCTTTCCCGTTTACCACCTTCAACCACCATCTTATGTTAACCTAGAAGGTGTCCATCTACTTACTAAGGCTAAATGAAGCTTATAAAACAGTTTGAAGAATAAGGATTATGATTTATAGTTGATGGTTAGAGTTGCCAATTAGATTTATGATTTTCCATCATGAACTGACATCAACTAAAATGTCAAGATGCTATTTGATCAAAATGGGTTAGTGAATTTCACGCCAAAATCCAAGACCTGTTATCATATATTTGATGGATTTGTCCATTCAGCTCAGAGAACAAAACTCCATCAAAATCATCCAACTGAGCTACAAATCTTCTCCACCACTATTGATCATTGAATATATGTGTTTAAATAATAATAAATGTAAATTCATCACTATATTGTATAATAGACCTTCATTATAGGAATAAATTAATCAGAACTGATAGGATGAATTCAAAGAATTGAAAGAATGATAAAAACTGTATATAACTTTATTGATTATGTTATTGAACGTGCCATCATGAAGTATTTATATGAAATCAGTCAGTCAGTCAGTTACAACGTAGAACTTCGTACGTACATACATCACTTCGAGTTGCCATACCACATTAGCACAAAGATGCAGTTGTCGATTCAAATTCCATAGTGGTAGAAGTGGTAAGAATATAGGCATTAATGTGAAAGATTAGGGTTTCAAGAGGTTATTCAAGGAGTATAATCCAATGAAATAAATTTGAAAAGAGAAAATGGATAGAGATATGAAGAATTCAGAAGATTAAAATTTGGCAGAGCACAAAGAGTGGATGCACCTTCGCCATTGCAAAAGATTTTGAGCCATGTCATTCAAGGTCTCTAACCATCGGTTGTTATCATCTTGCGGATTCCAACCAGGTAGTCTACACCTACCAACATGGCTCAGTGCAATTGTCAGTGACTTCATGGATTTGTGCCATGTTTTGGTTTGGTTTTCTTCTTTCATTTATATGGAATAGGTATGATTATGTAATTATAAACAGAGAATGGTGTATAAAGTATTGTGAATTTAACTACGTGAAAAGTACGGAGTTAACCAATGCTTTTACTTTATTCATTAATGAATGATTACCAACGCAAAACTCATCTATTCAGAGTCATTTAATCATAACATTAGAAAAGTCAGTTAATGGATGCCAGCTCAATGGTCTGTCGGTTAAGTGCTGTGGAGCGAGACTGGTAGGTCCTGGGTTCGAGCCTCGCTAGGCGAGGTCGTGGATGCGCACTGCTGAAGAGTCCCATAATAAAGACGAAACGACTGTCCTGTGCTTCCGGGTTTTCCCTGGTGGTCAACTGACTCGTGATTTCAACTATGAAAAACCACAACGTAACTTAATCAATAAATCTCAATATTTACATATCCAGGAGATTTGTGATAGGTGGTTGAATAACACAGCCATATTTAATTATCTGATTTCAATTTAATGAATAGTAAACAAAGTAACAATAAATTTACTTGGTATAGTTTGTTTGAATCTTTTCATGGATGTTTAGGGCTGTAATTGTTCAGTCTTTTATTGACAATATGTACATACTGTTCGTATTGCCTTGATATTGTCTTAATTCACAAGCATTATAAGTAAAGATGAATTCAATAGCTAAGTGGATAACGTAATAGCGTTTGAAGCGAACGGTACTGGGTTCGAGTCACAAAGTGAACATCAACTCTGAGATGTAGGTGAATCCAACTGAGCAGTCCCAAATAGGACGAAACGCGCGTCAAACTGGATTCTGCTATTAGCCACTATTCATCTTTGCTTATAAAGTCACAGTAGTTAATGGATTGTTCTTAGCTTACGACTAAAATAACATAAAGAATACCATGAACCAACTATTTAAGAGACATGCGTTAATAGTGTATTAACTGATTCCTAAATAAATGGTTTTCACGCTTTTCCATAACATAAAGCTAATCAATTATCTATTTTAAGTTTTTTGGCAGATGGGATAAATGTCTCCAAAAAGCGATTTTGAGGAAGTCCACAGTATGAAAGCTTTGATAATATACATATATTCTATCAGAAACCTGAATCCATACGGATGATTAGCAAACATACAAGTGACTTTAAAGATATGGTTATAATCACAAACTATTTATATACTCCCCCCCATTTTATCTCTCCAGCTAAAGGAGTCCACATGAATAACAGAAAAGCCATACGGAGTCATCTAAAAAACAGTTTATGATTATATGAATACAGTTGAATAAGTAGAGTTTCTGAAGTCATATAAATGAGTTTTACAACTTTTAGTAGAAGAAGAACCAATGACTATCTTGTAAAGAATCGCCAACTATGTAAAAATATTTTTAAATTTATAACCATTTTAATTTTGTTCCATAAACTTGTCTGGTAGACTCAGAATATTCCTTGAAGAAAGTCCAGTGGGCCATGGAAACTCTAGGAAACATTTAATCCATTCAGCATTGTATAGAAGTTTCTCAGAAACATCTAGAACTTTAAACACTACGTGTTATATTTCTGAATGGATGATTACCTATTTCGCTACTATGTTAAGTAACGCTCCAGAACCTTCCAGAAGCCCAAGGTTATCTGAAATACTAAAAATACCCTAAATTTTCTGTACATAAACAAACCTTAGAGTAAAGCGTTCTTTCTAAACTTCTCGCATTATCTCTCGTGTTCAAATTGTCGTGTAGATTTGACTTGCGGAGGGTTTACTATTAAAGATTAGGAAACCGATTCAAAGCGTTCAGTCAGAAGATTTGTTAAAACGATTCTCCCATATCACTTATTCTTTTTCTGGCGACAAACAGGGAGAAATCACTCCAGAACGCTTTAACTGTTACTCAAGATTGTCATTACAATTAATAGACTTTATATGTATAGCCATTGAATTACTTAGTCTTTGAATGAAGTCCGACTAAAATTTGATACCAAAGCCATAATGAACCAACTGAGAATATTATAGAATAGTGAATATAGTTGTTTAAATGAGACTACATGCAACTATAGTGTACAGAGATTTTATAAGTAATACCTCTTTAAAACTTACATCTATTGTCATTAAAAAGGAAGAATGGTATTTGTAAAATCTCAACGAATGAATTTGAAGTAAATTCAACGTTTCACCTAGCAATCTGATTCAAACTTTTTCAAGGAATTATAATCAAACATCAAAAGCTTGAACCAGATTGTCAGGTGAAAGGTTGGATATACTTCAAATTCATTCGTTGGGATTTTACAAATACCATTCTTCTTCTTCTTCTTCTTCAATATCTCACATCAACTTAGAGCCCAAATATAGTGAAACTATTCAATCAACTTTAAACGAAAGTTCTTATACTGTTGTGTCATAAATTAAATGATATCTAAATACAATTATTGTTTATAAGTTTAACTACAATTTTATTCATTTGTAAATCATGTTAAAAATATTGTAAGCAAAGATGGATAGTGTCAAACACTGGAATCCAGGATGCGTGTTTCGTCGTATTTGGGACTAGTAAGCTGGATGTACCTGCATCTCAGAGTTGATATTCACTCTGGGACTCGAACCCAGTACCTTTTGCTTCAAACGCCATCGCGTTATCCATTTAGATACTGAGTCGTGATAGTGAACGGCTAACAAACAATACTATGTGAATTTAAACTTCACCCCATTGCACAAACAAGTGGCTATCAGGACTCAGTATCTGAGTGGATAACACGATGGCGTTTGAAGCGAAAGATATTGGGTTCGAGTTCCTCGCAGAGTGAACGTCAACTCTGAGATGCAGGTACATCCAGCTGACGAGTCCCAAATGGGAAGAAACGCGCGTCAAACTGGATTCCAGTGCTGGCCACTATCAATCTTTGCATATAACGCTTGTGAATTAAGGCAATATCGAGGTAATACGCACAGTATGCACACATGCCATTCAGAGATTGACCAGTTGCAGGAGATTCAAACAAACAATACTAGGTGAAGAATAACAATCGTTGTGATCTAACAGAAGTTTCTTTAATTTTTTTTATTCTTTAGAGTTGAATTTTCAGGTTGTAATTAGTAGTAAAAAAGAGTTTACAGATTGAGATAGTAGAGAATATTTGTAACGCAGGTGAACGATTTTGATGGAGTTTTGTTCTCTTAGCTGGATGGGTTAGTCATATGTAGTTTATTGGAGGTTTATATATAACACTTGTTCGCAGAACATAGTGACGAAGACACTCGTCGAAAAAGTAGAGTTGTTCTCGAGTGCAAGACTGTCTTTTAAAGAAATCTTCCAATTTTCGAGTAACAACAAGAGGCGTACTACACTCGCGATCAAACCATCCAGATCAGAAAACAAAACTCCATCAAGTTTAAAAATTAGATATTGACTAATTTGAGATTTATGGATCAACTTAATGAATGGACCAACAGATTATCAATTGAATTTAGTCGATAAAACGGTTTCAATGTTTAGTTCAAGTAAACTAGTTATCCGACAATGAATATTTCAGTATATAGGAAGAAGGAAGTTTTGGTTAGCCCA